CTCCTTCACACTTGGTGATGGATACCATGCATGTTTAGTCTGAGTTCAAACATTGATTGGGCTAGTTAGTAGTACTCTAGCATTCTGCTTCGCTACTCTGAACTACGTGAATGAGGTCAGTCCTGTCAATTCAATCTTTGTATCAAAGTCTTCCCTGCGCTTTTCAGCACTTTTTCGTATGTATGAGAAGTTCTGTCGAGATTTTACTCGCACTGTATTGTCCATTCAGTCCTTTTCATCACATTGCAGTTCCTCGGTTATTACGCACATTGCATATCTGTGCATGTAAGAGTTGGTATCGGAGCCTTGCACGTGAATCAGGACAACCTGATCTGACTTGTGTGCGGGGACTACAAAGCTAGTTAGTCTTTTCTGTTTGATTAGGACATACTAGCTAGATCCCAAAATCACGATCTTGACCTTACCACCGAAAATCGAAATTTTTTCTTTYCTCGGATTTTATTTTCTCGCTATTCTGCTGTGGAAAATCGCTATATCGCAACATCTGAAATTCCTATTTTCGTTTTTCTCCTTGAAAATCCGAAATTTCGCTGTTGAGAATCCGAAATATTTTTTTTTCGAAAGTTTCGATTTCCTGTTGCATTTCCCGTTACTTAGAAATTCGGAATAGTTTCTTCTCTGAAATTCGTTTTTCTGAAAACGGTACGGGAAATACCTCTTGCGTTATTATTTTTCAAACTGCAAATCAGAATAAATCTGAATACGTGTCATTTCTGTTCGGAATTTTTTTCGCAGTTGTAGGATCCTGTCATTCAGTTTGATAAATCATTTACAGTCTAAAGTCAATTTTTTTTTTCGCTTTCAGTGATCATTTCGTACTTTAAGGGAGATTGGGAGACCTACCGAACTTGCAAAAATCGAGATTTATTTTTTTTTTTTTAATTTATTTTCCTCAAATTGTTTTTTGCAAAGTTCAAACTTTTCTATTTTGATTAGTGGCTCCTTATCTAAGTGTGAGTTGGGCGATTCCCCCATCCACCCCTCCCCACCTATGTTGTTGCCATCTCTCGCCTTTCCGTTTTTGTTTGTATCCGGGTATCCCCCACGGCGGCATTGGTGAGTTGCCACGTCCACAGGCCACATCAGCAGACCACGTCAGCAGACCATGTCAGCAGACCACGTTAGCAGGCCACGTAAGCAGACTACGTTAATACGCCAACAGGCCACTTCAGCAGGACATGTCAGCCGTGCCACGTCAGCAGCAGAGGATACCAAACAGGCCCCGATGTTTATGCTGTTGAGATCTCAAACAGCAGTCATGGACCAGAGGCCCGGAGAAGCGGATGAGGCCTATCAGGCCCGCAAGCTGGCCTGGAGTACCGAGACTAAGAAACGGGCAGATGACGTTGTAGCAGCAGCGAAGAAGGAGGCAGAAGATGCCGAACAGGCACGTCTTCTGGCACTTGAACAACAGCGCCAACATGACAAGGCAACAGCAAGGGCTGCCGATGAAGAAAGAACACAGCGTCGTGAGAAGATATTTACCGGAGAGCGGACATTACTTACCATGGCAGCAGAATGGCGAACCGAGGCCGAGAATAACCAGTTGGAGGATAGCGCAAACAAGATAGCGCTCCTCCTCTCACATCTCATGGATCTCCTGGCAACCTGCATTACACAGCAGGCAGAGATCCTTGGTCTCGAGAGATCGCTAACTCACCTCCAAGACCGTTTTCAGCGGTTGGAGCAGCGACCAGTCGCCGTCGCCGACGCAGGCTCTTCCAATACTGCCGACCGCCTCAATGCATTTGAGATGCACGTCGGCTCACTCCAGGATGGCGCACAGTTACAGCTCACCGCGACGCAACAATTGCAGCAGCGGGTCTGTACCACCGCCACTACCTCGAGTACGGAGCCGCGCGAGTCAACTCCAAAGTTTGACGGGCAGGAGATCTTTTGCGACTCCATGAAGATAGATCCGATTCCATGGTTCCGCAAGTTCGAGCTCACGCTGCAGCTGTCCAACGTCAAGGAACTCAAGCATCACGCCTACTTGTACTCTCGCTCAGGGGGCGCGTGCCAGGCTTGGTTGGACAACCTCCTGTCCAAGTACGGAGTAGTAGCTGCCGACTTGCACACCAAGATCAGTTGGGATGATCTGAAGGCGGCGTGGCACAAACGGTTCCAGGTGGAGCCGCCAGAGATCAAAGTCATGGACAAACTCATGGTCTTCGAGCAAGGCACGCTGCCGAGTACGGACTGGATCGCCGAGTACCAACGCTTGACGTCACTCCCAGACATCCAGATGGGCTTCAAGGCCATCCGCCATTACTTCATCTCAAGGTCATGTTCGACATTAAGCGATCCCATGACTCATGTCGAGGACACCTTGACGACGGCAGCGGAGTTGTTCGATAAGGCTGCGCAGATCATTATCACGAACAAGGAGGCCAAGAACCTCCGTTCATCTGCGTCAGGCCCGAGCAGGGACCAGCATTGGCCAAGATTGGTCGTGGTCGCAGCGGCAGCGCCGTTAGACCAACCCAGCGAGGCTGTGTCTGCCAGTGAAGGGGACAAATTCGCAGCCGCCCGGGAAGGTGGCCGCCCCGGCAGAGGCCGAGGACGCGGCAAGACGAAGATACACACCGTTTCTAGCCCCGGGCCCGGTGCAGCAGCTCAGACAGGCCCATGGACCCCGTATGGCATCTCTGAGTCCGCATACAAGGCGCGCGAGAGATTCCACTATTGCCTTTGGTGCAACAGCGATCTTCATCAGACGAAGGGTTGCCCATTGAAAGGCAAGGGCAGACAGGGAAATTGAGCACCGCCGAGAGTGACGTGACGACACTCTCGACGCCTTCGGAACTGGTTTCTTCGCGAGTAACCAGCCTTCATTCCGAGGCGCATGCGGAAGTCGACAGTCCTCCGCTTCCCCTTTCTTTTGAGGACTATGCTGCCCGGCTCGTTCCAACGGTGGGTACTCAAGCTCAAGGACAAGGAGTGTGTGCGGTTTCTTCTCTGTCCGACAACAGCGGCATATCGTCTTCAAGTGGTTCGTCACGGGATTCGGCGCGCGAGTTCAATATAGAGGCATTGGACCCGCTCACGTCTGAGGACTTTGCATGGCTTCCTCTCCCGACCACAGACTGTTTGCCGGGACCGCGATGCGCAACACTCAACGCTAATCTTCACACTTACTTATCCTTCTATGTCTCACCAACTTCGCCGACGGATGACGAAGTCGCGGTGGGGGACATCCTGGCGTATACTATCAAGGAGGCCCGCGAGTTTCGCACGCAGCGGTATGATGACAACAACGCACCGCTCATGTATGTCCGCATTCAGGTTGGGCAAGCGTCCTGCAGCGCTTTGCTGGATAGCGGCGCATCTCGCAACTTCATGAGCCAATCCTTTATGCAAGGGGCTGGCCTTGGCGCACAAGTTCGGAGGAAGGCAAACCCGACGGCGATCAAGTTGGCGGATGGAAAGACGCAACAACTTCTCGACCGTTACATTGAGGCCGTACCGGTCTACTTCGCACCTCATGCATGTGAACCGGTGACATTCGATATTCTCGATACGGACTTCGACATCATTCTGGGAATGCCTTGGCTTGCAAGTGCGGATCACACGGTCATCTTCCATCGGCGGACTCTTAGCGTTTGCGACGCCTTCGGCGCGGAAGTGGCGTGTACTATTCCTCTACCGCACTCTTCGATCCGGTGCCAAGTGGTGACAACCAAATCATTCCGGGCGACTTGCGCTTACGAGCAACCCGAGGAGATCGGCCTATGTTTCCTACGGACCATCGCGGTAGCCGACTCTTCACCCACGGACTTGTCTTCGGACCCCCGTGTGGTGCGGTTGCTGGACGAGTTCGCCGACATCTTCGAGGCACCTACCGGTGTGGTGCCGGATCGGCCGATCTCTCACGAGATCATTCTTGAGGCCGGTGCCGTGCCGCCGAAAGGTTGCATCTATCGGATGAGCGAGGAGGAGCTTGAGGTACTCCGCGCACAACTCGACGATTTGTTGGCCAAGGGCTGGATCTGCCTGAGTGGCTCTCCATATGGAGCACCAGTTCTCTTCGTCAGGAAGAAGAACAAGGATCTACGATTGTGCATCGACTACCTCAAGCTCAACGTGCAAGCCGTCAAGAATGTGGGGCCTCTTCCTCGCATCGACGATCTTCTCGAGCGACTGGGCGGTGCGAAGTATTTTTCCAAGTTGGATTTGAAATCAGGATATCATCAAATCTCGATCCGGCCGAACGATCGCTACAAGACCACGTTCAAGACGAGGTACAAACATTTTGAGTGGGTGGTCATGCCTTTTGGCCTCACCAACGCCCCGGTGACCTTTTAGGCGGCCATGACCAATGAGTTCCGTGCAATATTGGACCGGTTCGTGTTGGTCTACTTAGATGATATTCTCGTCTATAGCCGGTCATTGGAGGATCATCTGGGGCATCTTCGACGAGTGTTGGAAACGCTCCGCCGCACCAAGTACAAGGCCAACCGCGACAAGTGTGAATTTGTGCGGCAGGAGCTGGAATAATTGGGCCATTTTGTCACACCGGAGGGCATCAGTTCGCTATCGGACAAGATTCAGGCCGTCCAGGAGTGGCCGGAGCCTTGGAATGTCACGGATGTCCGCTCGTTCCTCGGTCTTACCGGCTACTATCAGCGCTTAATCAAAGGCTACTCGAAGATCGCGGCCCTCTTGAACAAGCTTCAATGCGAGGATCAACCGTTTGACTTCGGAGAGGAGGCGCGGGGATCATTCTTCGCTTTGAAAACCGCGCTATTGTCTGCGGAGGTCTTGCAGATATATGACCCGCTCGCGCCTACATGCGTCACTACGGATGCGTCAGGCTATGGCATTGGTGCAGTCCTCGAGCAACAAGATGGTGTGGTCTGGCACCCAGTCGAGTACTTCAGCAAGAAAGTGCCCCTCGTGCATTCCATTAACGATGCACGCAAGAAGAAGCTCCTCACCTTCGTCCACACGCTCCAGCGGTGGCGGCGCTTCCTCCTTGGTCGAAGCCAAGGACGCGACAAGTACGCGAATTGCTCCTCTCCTAATCCGGCTTCTTCCCACTACCGGATCCAAGAGGGGTTCTTGCTTGTCCACGCGCGGGGGAAGGACCTTCTTTGCGTACCAAGTGATCCTCACTTGCGTACTCGGCTTCTTGGCGAGTTTCACGATGCTCCCGCTACCGGACATTTTGGAGTCAATCGCACGATTGGCCGACTTCGCCAACGATTTTGGTGGCCCGGCCTTCCCGGCGACGTCACGCGCTATTGCGAGTCATGCGAGGTTTGGCGACGCTGCAAATCCCGCAACCATCATCCATACGGCGAGTTACAACCATTGCCAGTCCCGTTGAGGCGAAGGAAAGCGATTGCCAGGGACATCACCGGCCCGTTCCCCAAGCACAAGACAGGAGTGGATGGGATTCTCACGGTGGTCGACCGACTCACCAAGTTCGCCATGTTTTTGCCTTGTCTCTATCATGCCAAGGCACCGGAGTTGGCCGAGGTTCTGTACGCCGGTTGGATTCGCACCAAGGGTTACCCCAAGGAGATCGTCTGCGACCGCGATACTCGGTTCATGTCCGATTTTTGGCTGGCGCTCATCTCTCAAGCCCAGTTCAGCTCGCCACCCTCAGACCGATGGCCAGACGGAGAGGGCGCATCAGACCGCACAGGTTCTCCTTCGCACTCTTATCTGCCCCGACCAGAAAGACTGGGTTAACGACTGCCGGATGTTGAGTTGGCCTACAACTCTTCCATCCACCCGGCTATTGGGATATCGCTCTTCGAGTTCGAGCACGGCTCGCCGGTCACGTCACCGTTGGACACGATTACTCCACGCACGGCCGAGAGCGACGACCATCTTCTTTTCTTGCGTCGGATGCAAGAGCTTCTTGTCAAGGCACGCGACCAGATGGCTAAGACGCAGCAGCACATGAGCCAACAGGCAAATCGCCAGCGTCTTCCTTGTCCATTCCGCGCCGGGGACCTCGTCTGGGTTTCAGCAACGGAATTCAGCCTTGAACAAGACATCTCTCGCAAGCTTCTCCCGAAATGGATGGGGCCTTGGCCGATCATTGAGCCTGTTGGGGACGCACCTGAAGGACCTTCCTTCACGATTCAGGTGCCTAGCCACTTGCCCGTCTACCCAGTCTTTCATTGTTCCAAATTGGCTCTGTACACGCTAGCGGAACATGACAATTTTCCCGGGAGATGTACGCAAGACCCACCTTCTATGGATGGTTTTCAGGAGGTCAGCGACATCATCTCCCAGCGACGCTACGACAACAAGCCAACTGAGTATTTGGTGCATTTTGCCTACGGCACACATCGAGCTGACCGCTGGTTAACCCGTGCGGAACTGCAAGCGACAACTTCAGACGTTCTCGCACGCTACGAACTCAAGATGCAAGGCAAGCCGGTTTCTTCGGCTCCACGCCGCGCCCAAGTCCAGGTTCCACCTTCAGATCGACGGCTTCGCCGTCGCCCCGGCTTGGCTTCATAAGGAGGGGGGGGTGTTACATGCAGCGCGTGCACACACGGGCCATTTTGCAGGCCCGACAGCCATTTTGCAGGCCCGACAGTTTTCAGGCCGAAAGCCTGAAATCCAGGGCTTATAGGCCCCATGTCGGTTCAGACCGAAAGCCTGATTTTGAGGGCCAACAGCCCCCGCGACGGTTCAGACTAAAAATGGTAATCGCATTTTTAGCCTGGACCCAAGGGCCATTTTCGGTCGTTCATTAGAACGACCGGCCCTGAAACTCAGGCACCGAACCAGGGTTTTGGGGAACAGCCTATATATAGACTGTTCCCACGCCAGCCTCA